GCACAGGCTCCCGGGAGGGGAGGTGTGGATAGTGGCCTGTGCTTGCACACAGGCTTCTTGGTGGTGGCAGCAGCAGCCCTAGCGTTTCGTGCCCGTCTCTGGGGTCCGCGCTGATAGCCGCGGCTCACGCTTGTCCCTGGAGCTCATTCCGGCGGTGCTCTGAATCCCCTGTCCTCACGCACCAGGGAACAAAGAGGCAAGAAAAAGTCTCTTGCCTCTTCGGCAGGTCCAGACTTTTCCCCGGACTCCCTCCTGGCTAGCTGTGGTGCACTAACACCTTCAGGCTGTGTTCACGCTGCCAACCCCAGTCCTCTCCCTGCGATCCGATCGAAGCCCGAGCCTCAGCTCCCAGCTCCCGCCCGCCCCGGCGGGGGAGCAGACAAGCCTCTCGAGCTGGTGAGTGCTGGTCGGCACCGATCCCATGTGCGGGAATCTCTCTGCTTTTCCCTCCGCACCCCTGTGGCTGCGCTCTCCTCCGCGGCTCCAAAGCTTTCCCCCTCCGCCACCTGCAGTCTCTGCCCGCGAAGGGGCTCCTAGTGTGTGGAAACCTTTCCTCCTTCACGGATCCCTCCCACTGGTGCAGGTCCCGTCCCTATGCTTTTGTCTGGGTATTTTCTTTTGCCCTACCCAGGTACGTGGGAAGTTTCTTGCCTTTTGGGAGGTCTGAGGTCTTCTGCCAGCGTTCAGTAGGTGTTCTGTAGGAGTTGTTCCACATGTAGATGTATTTTTGATGTATCTGTGGGGAGGAAGTTGGTTTCCATGTCTTGCTCCTCCGCCATCTTGAAGGTCCCTCCTGATACCTTAGTTTTAATCACAGTGTACATTTTGCATTCAACTTTCCACTTATGAATCATCTTAGCAGAGTCTTCTCCATGAATGTTATATCACAAGCATTTTCTCCATCACTGTCTTCAGAATGATTTCTTTAACTATGTATAGATTGCTATACAATTTGTTTATTCTTTTACTTGGGGCATGTAGTTGTATATAATTCAGTAATAAATAACATTGTGCAGTAGCTTCTTCTTTCTTCTCTTGAACTGTATCTTTCAGAAACTAAAGAGTTGAAATTCTACAAACTGGAGTGGTGAGATGCTTTTCTTCTGTGTTGAGGAAGGTGAGAAATAGACTGACTATATACTTGTGGGTCACTCAATTTATCCTAGAATCCCAGCTGACTAGAAGAACCAGTGTGAAGCACAAAACCAAACTCAACATTTTATTACCCAATGCATGATACAAAGATGTTATCCTCTTCATTTTATTAAAAATAAAAAAGAAAGTAGAGGGAAAGTTTTCTATGTATACACATTCATAGGATTATATATACACAGAAAAAGAAACATTGAAACTATTGACAGGGTTTTAAAATATATTTTTTGAAGTATAAACTATACTTAAGTTATCGCATATTTTTTTTAGCCTACTGAATTCTAAACTGTGAGATCATCACCAAAATGACCACAACCTCTTGTAATATAGAAAGAATTCTTTTCGCACCATTTTGTGATAGATCCATCATCGGTTAGTATTCTTTCCCTTGCCAACCATAGACTTTTCTTCTCGTAAAAGTGAGTATGGACTTACTGGAAGAAACGTCTGTGCCATTTTAACTCTCTTGCTTTGATTCTCCAAAGGGTTATGGTTGGGGAGCTGGGGGTTGATATTCCTGCTGGGAGCCCCCGTGTGGCTCTCATGGCAATGTCTCTAACGAAGGACAAGTAGGATCTAATGAAGAGCAGGATACAGTAAAGCAGTTAAGTCGAGTCTTGCATGCTTCCTCTGGATTTCAATTATTCTGGGCAGTCTGGTAGATTCTGAATTACCAGCAGCTGCTCACTTGCTCACTTTCTTATCTGCCACAGCTGCCAGCAGCTGTTCTCTCTTTCTTACCCCATATCCAGATGCAAACAGCTGTTCTCTCTTTCTTTACAATTGTCAAGCAGTGGCTCATTTTGCCCCAAACACATGGACACCTGCAGCAATAGGAATTTTATTTTGCAGTTGTGGTGAAATACTGGACAGCTTCAGGAAGGTTTAATGGAGGGAGGGAAAGAGGGAATGAGAGGTGGTTAGATGTAGAAGAAGCCTGTGTTGGCAAGCTGGAAGGTAGACAGGACACTTCTAGTTGTTTTTCAGGGGTGAATAAGTCAGCGATAACAGATACCCATACTTCTTCCTTGGAAAGCAGGGCATCATCACTAAGCACGTAGGAAGAAATTATGATGGTGCTTTAAGGGTTTAGTCTTCATTCATTAAAAAAAAATATTTATGGACATTTACTACATGGCAAGCACTATTCTAGGCACACAGTAGGTGCTAAATAAATGAGTATGCTTTTTATAAATGAGCATATATACACATATATACACACATTTCTCAGTCTAGTCTCGTGTTAATGATATCAAAAGCTAACATTTTAAATGAATTTTCGCTGTGGAATTCAGCCTCTCCTGCTCCCAACACTGGGACTGGGGACTTGGTCCTTGACCAAGAAACATTCCTAGTTCTCATGTTTCTCTCGTTTAGAGAGGGAAGGTGGAACGATAGAAGAAGGAAGTTCACATTTATTGAGTGTTTACTATATTCCCAGTACTGTGCATTGTCCTTTTACATAGATTATTTCATTCCATCTTCATCAGAAACTTAGGAAATCAGCATCACTATTCCCATCCAGCTGATGAGGAAACTGAAGTTGGAGGCATGAAGCTGCTTACCTAAGGCCACACAGCCAGGGAATGTCAGAAATAGATAGGACTGAACACAGGCTCTCCCACTCCCAAGCACAAGCTCATTTCATCACAGCCTACTTCCTTACATGCTTTTTCTTTCTGCTATTCAGAGAATATTAATGTTAGTATTAGAGAATACTAGTGGTAATTGGGTTTAATACCGTGATTGTAGAAGTCGATGTATAATTGGCCCAAAGCCTTTATCCTCAATTGGAAACTGGTCCAAACTTCACTTAACCCTTTTAAGCTGTGGGGCACTGTCATCAAGGGTGAAATAAAAGATGAGATACCGAGGGCGCCTAGATAAAGTTGTTATCACAAAAATCATCTCTGCACCCCAGGCTGTTCTCTGTTAATAGTGCGTTTTGAAAGAGTATTTGGTCAAATATGGGAGGACTCAGTACCGTCATTTCACGCCCTAAATCCATCCATTAGTGTCCAAACAATGTTAATGATTATCCTCTAGGATATTGAGTGGGAAAGAACTGGCTGAGGCTCTAAAGAAACTTCCTATGGCTTAGGGATCCATTAGGAAAAACTCCTTATTCTTGTAAAAATTTCCTGAACTTTCAGGGCCAGGTTTCTGTGGCTGGCCAAGAGTCAGCCTCAGTTAGGATGCTGCCAAATGGAGCATCAGCAACTCATTTGGCTTTTGGAAGACAAAGAAATGAAAAACAACTGATATTTGTATACTTGAAATTATGAGCTGTTTCTCTAACAAAGAGACCAAACACTTTCGGCTTGTTTTACAGTAAACATACACATTGAACAATCTGGTTGGTTAGCAGCTGGCTGTGCATATGTAGGGCATATGTGAACACATATGGATGCATAAAACTCACATATGTTCACTTAAAAGGACACTGTCAAGTCATTTTATGACTTTTTTTTTTTTGTTCTCTGGGCTCCATTGTTTATAAAATCTCCTTAGAAGCTTAAAAATACAATTTCTTTCCCTACTGATTTTTGTTCTTTTCTTTTTTTAAAACACGCATTTTGAATGACACTTAAATAAATGGGGCTGGTTCTATTTAATAACAAATCCTACTTAAGCATATACAGTAATACATCATCCAGTCAGAAAAGAAGCACTAAGAGGGAGACAATCCCTTATGAAAAAAAAATAATCATCTTTGGCCCTGAGAGAATTGAATTCAATTCTCTCATTCCAGAATTGAACAGTACTCACAAGATTATTTCCTGGTACCCCAGGGCTTTTAGTTAGTGTTAGACATTACATATAGATAACTGGTGACTATGATAAATGCTATTTTTCTATTTTCTAAAATATTTTAGCAGTATTTTTCTAGCATCTTCACTAAGCAAAGAGCCTTTTAAAATATTCTTGCTTTGGGCAGAAGCTGTGAAGAATCAAATCAGAATGGCCAAAACACCTGGCAAGATGCTCAAAATCACAACCAGTGAGGAAAACAAAAAGTAAAATAATGATGAGTTATCCCTTTACATCCATCAGGCTGGCAAAAAGCGAAAAGCAAAATCATAACGTTGCTAGTGGAGATGTGAAGAAAAGGGCACTTTCATATGTTGCTCGTGGAAATGGATTTTTAAACAGCTTTTTTTGGGAAATAAATCTGGCAACATTTTTTTTGAAACTAAAAATACATACTTAGCCTTCCATCCAGCATTCCCCTCTTGGGAATCTAACTCATAGGGACAAAAGCACTAGTACATAAGCTATAGGCCCAGGATTTCTACAGCAGCATTATTTATTGTAGCAAAACAAACAAACAAAAAAAGTGAAGCCGTGTGAATACCCTTCAGTAAGGGACTGTTGTTGAAAAAATTAAGGTATGCCTATACCATGGAATATTATGTAGACTCACAAAAAAGTGAATTGGAGCAATACTAGTTGCTTAGAAGGATTACCACCAGATATTGCTGAGGGAGAAAAGCAAGATGTATAGACACGTATATTATGAGCCCATTTTATAAATCACTGATCAAAAAACTTTTATAGGTATACGTTTAATCTGTCTATAATTTGTCTAGACACACATTTGTATAAGGTCCTATGGTGATGGAAATGGATGGACACACACTAGGTTAAGATGGGTTTTCTGGAAGGGGGTGGGAGGAATTGCAGTGGTGACATGTGAGAAAGATAAAGGAAGAGGCTGATATAAGAAAATTAGGTATGAAAGTTATGGTCACATTTATGCAAAAGTATATGTATAATACGTGCAAAAGAATTTTTGAAATAATAAGAGATCATTATCAAAATAAAATATACTATCTTCCGGTTTTCAGGATCTCCATAGATTAAGATAAAGGAGGATGTAAATGTTCTGGAAGAAGTCAAATAATCATGAAAAAAAATTTGACCTTGAAGATTGGCTGAAGACCATTATGAGTCTAACGTTTCCAGTGTAAGATCAAGAGCAGCGAGTTGCATTCAATCATTTCAAGGTACTGGTGCCACCAAGTGATGTCTGAAGCAGTTGTTGGTGCCATTTTTTTACCCTACCAGTGAAAGAGACCCTTGGCTTACCTATGCCGTGCATAGGAACAAGAGGTCTATGGAGGGCTTCAATTCTCCTTGGGATGAAGCACACACCTATGACCCTGGTACTGACATGAACAGAAAGTATGAAAATGGATAGGGAGCAAAGGCTTTTGCTCTAGAATCTGAGCTCCTATTGGTTTTTCCTATTGGCAGGTGCTCTGCTATGCCCAACCTTCACCTGTCAAGACGCTTGAGTGGTGTTCAATAAGTTATAACTTCTTGGACTAGTTTACAACCTGTCTGACTTCTTTAGCTGCCCTATCTCTTTATATAGGTTTTCTCTTTTTATTGCCACCATCCTAGCTTGGCCTTTCATTATTTCTTTCCTAGCCATAAGCACGTCTTCATGGGCTTTCCTATCCTCAGTCTGTCTGTGCTCCAATCCAGCCATAACCCACTTTTGTACTAAGCTTCCTGAAGTCTTGGTCGTTTATTGGCAGTAATCAAATGCCTTCAGTTGTTTATCCCTGTCCACGAACAAACTGTGACCTCAGCGCACAAGCTTTCAATAGGGTGACCGTGTGTCTCTGTTTGCCTGGGATGGTCCCAGGTTACTACTGCTATCCCAGAGTACTTGTTGTGACTTTATTCACTTCCCAAAATGCTCTGGTTTGGATAACATATTATATGGATGCCCTAGCTTTTAACCACTTGGTTCTCCTGCCTCTAATACATACAATAACTAAACTAACAGAAGAATGTATAAAGTTCCTGGTGGATGGAGGAATTGGGTACAGGAAGAGAGTATATCTTTCTCCTCAGATATTCAAAAACTAAATATAAATTACGTGGGATTTATTACCCTATCTAAAATTTGTTTTCTTCTGCCATTTAAATGATAAGTGAGGTTTTTTTGTTCTAACTCTAGTAAGAAAATCTACCTTTGTGTTTTTTTATGTAGCTCTCTTTGTTTCTAACAGGTGAGTATAGTCCTATCTGGGACCTGATGAATATCACATTCATAATTTGTTACTCAATGTGAGAAATCTTCAGCTAAGTAATAATATAGAAATTTAAAGAACTCTGAAGAGGTAGAAACACTTATACCATGAGCTCCTTCAGCAAAATGTCATATCTTTTTTCATCCAGCAATTAGCACAGTGCTTGTATATAAACGCTGTCAAGCAGAAATTAGAGCATTCTCTGCCAGGTTATAGAAATGAAATTTGAGTACTGTATTCTGGTTTAAATATTTTTTTCTTCCAGTTTTATTGAGATATAATTGACATACAGCCCTGTATAAGTTTAAGGTGTACAGCATAATGATTTGGCTTACATACATCATGAAATGATTATCACAATAAGTTTAATGAACATCCATCATCTCATATAGATACAAAATTAAAGAAATAGAAAAGACTTTTTTCTTGTAATGAGAACTCTTACTCTTTTGACAACTTTCATATATGACATAGAGCAGTGTTAATTATATTTATCATATCATACATTACCTCCCTAGTACTTATTTATCTTATAACTGGAAGTTTGCACATTTGACTTCCTTCATTCAATCCCCCCTCCCCCTACTCCCCACCTCTCATGACCACAAATCTGATCTCTTTTTCTATGAGTTTGTTTGCTTGTTTTTGAAGTATAACTGACTTACAACACCATTAGTTCCTGTTACACTACATAGTGATTTGATAATTGTATACATTTCAAACTGATCACCACAATAAGTTTAGTTATGATATGTCACTATACCAATATATCTTTGACTATATTTCCTACACCGTACATTTCATACCCATGACTCGTTTATAGCAACTGGAAGTTTGTACATCTTAAACTCCTTGTTTGAGTTGATCCTATTGCGGACTCTCCATGCTTCCTGGACCTGGATGTCTGTTTCCCTTCCCAGGATAGGAAAGTTTTCAGCTATTATGTCTTCAAGTGTGTTTTCTGCCCCTTTCTCTCGCTCTTCTCCTTCTAGGACCCCTGTAATGCAAATGTTAGTATGCCTGATGTTGTCCCAGAGGTCTCTTAAACTGTCCTCATTTCTTTTTTTTTCTTCTGTCTTCTTTCTGTTCAGCTTCAGTGATTTCCACTACTCTGTCTTCCAGCTTGCTGATCTGTTCCTCTGTATCATGTAATCTACTGTTGATACCTTCGAATGTATTTTTCATTTTAGTTATTGTATTACTTCATCTCTCTTTGTTTCTTCTTTATATTTTCTAACTCTTTGTTAAAAAATTCTAACTTCTCACTCTGTTCGTCCAATCTTCTCCTGATTTCTTTGAACGTCTTTATGATCATTACCTTGAACTCTTTGTTGGGTAGACTGCATGTCTCCTCTTTACTTAGTTCTTCTTCTGGGGTTTTATCTCGTTGCTTCTCTTTGAACACGTTCCTTTGTCATCTCATTTTTATTTCTATGTATTTAGTAGGTTGGTTACATTTCCTGACCTTGGAGAAGTGGCCTTTTGTAGGAGACATCCTGTGTGTCTCAGCAGCACACTCCCCTCTGGTCACCAGAGTTATATGCTCTAGGGGTGCCCCCTATGTGGGCTGAGCGTGCCCTTCTGTTGTGGCAGGCTGACTACTGTGGGTGGTCTGGTAGGTGTGGCTGGCCCTGGACTGGTTGGTTGCCAGCCTGTGCCTTGTATGGAGGCTGTTGGCCTCTGGTTGGCAGGGCTGGGTCATGAGATGCCTGGCTATGGAGCCCAGGGTGGAAATGGGGTGATCCCAGGGCTAGTGCTGGCCCACTAGTAGGTGGAGCCTGGTTTTGGGGTGGGTGGTTACAGGGCTGAGGTTCCTGGATCTAGTGTTGGCCTGCTAGTGGGTGGGGCCAGTTCCTGACACAGCTAGCTGCAGGATCCAGGGTGTCCCAAAGCTGGTGCTGGCCCACTGGTGAAGGGGGCTGGATCTGGGCGTGGCTGGCTGAGGGGTCCAAGTGTTAGCCTGCTGGTGAGTGGGCTGGGTGCTGACATGGCAGGCTGCAGGGCTGTTGGTCCTGGGACTGGTATCTGCCTACTGGTGGGCAGAATTGGGTCCTGGGGTCTCTAGCTGTAGGACCTGGGGGTCCCAAGGCTGGTGTGCACTGGCTGGTGGGTAGGGCCATGGCCCAGGTTGTCCTGGGGCTGTTGCTTGCTCACTGGTGGTTGAGGCTGGGTCCTGGGGTTAGGGCCAGCTCACTGGTATTTGTTACAGTTTCCAGAGTAGACTCTCGTGTTCCAGAAGAGAAGTGTGGATCATCTCCATCTTTATACCTCCACGGGCTTCCCTCTGCCTACGGACAAAGTCCAAACCCTTTGGCAGAGCATGCGAGACTCTTGTGTGTCTCTTTTTGCCTGTGAAATATCCGTCCTCAGCTTTCCTGGGAGCTGTACAACTCCAGGAAATGCCCGGATCCAATGCCTGCAGGCTTGCAGGGCTGTTATTCAAGAAGCCCTCTGCTCCCCTGGCCAAGTTAGACCAATTCTCTCCTGAACATTTTCAAGTTTGAATACAGAGAAGGAAGGATTGAAAGTAGTTGGAAGCGATTTGTCTCAGGTACAAATTGTAGATTCTGTTGCTGACACGTATTCTAGAGTAAGGCACGCTAAGAAAATTGACCATTTGCTCCTGTTACCTGAATTCCCTTAGTTGTCCTGGATTCCTTCAAAGACCTGCTTATTCAATGTTTTCTTTGCTTCTGTATGTTATCCGCAACTTTTCAATAAATTGTCTTCTCCTTTTCCCTGTTTTCTTTGGCTTAAGTTGACAAAACTTTGTTTGTCCTGACTAGATGAAACTGCTAACCAAACAGAGCTGACACAAAATTCTTTGGTAATCTGACCCAGAGGTAGTTTGCCAGATGCCATCTTCTGACTTAGGTTCCTAAAATGGTTCGTGTTTTCTCATAAAACATAAAAGACTCAGAAAAGTCTTTCTTATCTGCCGAATGAATTCCTATTCCCTCAATGCTGGGATCAGGCTCCCCTTTGGTAAGGCTTCCCTGGCGCCTTTCCACACACAGTTATAGGCTCTTCCTTCCCTGATACTTGTGCATCCTGTGTGTACATAGCAAGATTAGGAGTCAACTTTTATTACCTGTCCAAAGCCATGCTAAGCATTTTTAATTCATTAACTAATTTACTTCTTCCTACTGTCTAATAAAGGTAAGTATGGTTATTAACATTCCATATTATGCATGATGAAACAGGGGCAGAAAGGTTAAGTAACACCCTACAGCCCAGCTAGTAAGCGGCACAGCTAGGATCTTAACCTAGCCGGTCAGACTGTGAACCACTGTGTTCTACTGCCCCTCAGAGGTTCTTTTTAAATGTGTTCCCAAGCTTATCTCCACCTCCAGGCTGAGATTCTGTTGAGGGCAAGGATTTTTGCTTTGTTCAACTTCGTAATTCCAGGTCACAGCGTGTGCATAGCACATCAAAAGAGTCAGTAAATGAGAGAATGAACCAATGAATAAATTCCCCTTTTGATGCATGCAATTACTTTATTTCCTCATTCTAAGATACGTGTTTTAAAAACTTTCTGAAATTAGAAAATATCTTACAAATGGTACATATATATTTAGTAGGGTGCCTCTTTGCCCTTCACCATCTTGGAAAACAATATTAAAGTGGTACATCCCACAATCCATGGAGTCAAGGAAATATGAGGATCATTTTGGTGATCCAAAATGATCCAGTGCTGATAGCATTTGGTTTGCTATCGGCAAACCATAGCAATTGAGCTCCTTCTTACTGGTGTCTCCCTTCTGAAGCATCATCTCTATCTGTCTGTCTCACTCTTACTGAATTGGGTTGTTCCTATTCATTTCAGAGAACCCCATGAATTTTCCCCCCCAAAACCAGGGCTGTGACCATATTTGGACAATTGTTTGTTACCATGGTGAATTAATATGACCTTGAAAGGGGCCAAGATAGGTTCAGATATTAGAGAAAATCAGTTTGGAAACAGTTTTAATCTGGGACAGGGCCTGGGCCTTTGTTGGTAAGGAGTCAAGCGCATAAAAAAGGGGCCATGCTTTGATTACCTTCTGTACCTGACTCAAGGTGTGATCGCAGAATGTTTCAGTGACATTGCTTTGTTTTCTCTCTTTTCATCACAGTTCGCCTGCCCTTGCATATGGGCTCCTTTTTAAAAAACTGAAGTACAGTTGATTTATAATATTATCATATGAGCCGCTTTTGAAGAGTGTACTCAGGAAGGCCAATCATTTTTCTCTTCCCCCTGTTCTAGGTCTGAATAACAGGATCAGTGTGGTTTTCTTCGCGTGCCTATTCCTTTCCTCTTAATCATGACCTATATATTAGAATATATTTTAGGTGCTGTTACTTAAATGTCTCTTGGATTTGCTCCGATTTTTTTTCGGTCCCAGAGAAATAGCCTCTAAATTGCTGACCTTGTTCACTGCTCCTGCTGCCCTCTCTAGTCCTTCCTCTCTACTAGTTTTGACTAGTTACTATAGTAAAACCAATCCAATCTACTCGGTCACTTGTTTAAAATACGTGTACTGCTTCTCCGTTACTTTCCAAATGGAGACCCTTGTGCGTAAGCGGATATTCACAACCTGGTTTCTGTTGGGATTTTATGGAGAGACTCTATACCATATTTTTTCAGTGTTACGATGTCATGGGTGTCAAGTTACCCTACCAATTTAATGTAACATTTTCAAGGAGAAACAATAGACAAACAAACAAAAAGAACAGGCTTTTCTTGGTTTTGTTTTCAAACAAGTATATTAAAATGCATGGTGAGACCTTAGTAGCTAGTACTTGGTTAGTAATTTTCCAAAATTGAATTCTTTCAGGTCAGCTGGAGGCCTCTTTTAATTGTTGTGAGTGAATGCCTAACCAGAGATCTGCAGAGGTGACTTTTTTTTTCCTCAGAGACTTTGATCGTTATTTGCAGGAGAGAAAATGAAGCAGATCTTCCTCATTCTGTGCAAAACATTTTATTGGTTTACCTCAGCTATATAAGTGTGAGAAAGTATGAATCATTTTCCTGATGGAAGGGTATAACTAGTTCTTTTATATTTCGACCTATTTAAACCAAAATCCAGGAAAGCTTCCTAGGAGGTGGTGTTGGGCACAGTGCTGTCTACTTATGTGGTGAAGGAAGGCCCAGTGCTCTGGGAAGTGGCTGTACAGGTCACCAGAAAGCAAGCATCTGATGTAGGACAGCTGGGACCTCGGCTCCAGCTGCGACCACAGGGCAGAGGAGGGCGAAGGGTCCTTTATCAGTGGGACCTTAGAGTGTTGCTCTTGCAGTCCCAGAGCCTTACATCCAAAGAAGCCTAACTCCAGAGGGTTCTATAATTAGGAAACCAATAAGCCTCTTGACCCCAGAACATTTGTTTTCATATTTTACTTTTTATTAGTCATCTGGAAAAAAGAGATATTTTAAGGCTTGAGTACTGATTTGAGTCACACATACTATAAAGCTCCTCATCTCCACCTCTCCCCATCCCTGAAAAACCAAAGTGACAGCTTCTTTAAAGACTTAGCCTGTTGCTGTTATTTCATATCAGCTGGAGTTTATACTCCCAGCATATGTCTATCATCGTAAGTTAGGATTAGGTTGTAAGAACTATTTCAGTTTCTTCTTGGCCCATAGCTACCTCTTGCCTTAAGTACAGTATTCGTAGAAAGTACATTTAAGTGCAGCTTAACTTCCAAGTTCAGGGATTCCTTTAATGGGCTGCATCTCATGTGACATAGCAAAGATGGTGCAACCTCCACTAAAAAGCCAAGTTGAAAGGTGATAGAGCTGCAGACCTAACCAAAGACACACATCTATAATGGGACCAGAACTACAGAAAAAAATCCCAGTGGATTGAATTGTGTTTCTCTCCCTTCAGATTTTAGGAGAAAGAGGCAAATAGCCATAGCATAACTTTACAAAGAAATTTATTTAAAAATTTTAAAACAAGCAAATAATTTTGAAGCTATATCTTATATGTGTCTCTCATCACCTAGAAGGAAGGTAACAAGAAAGAAACAGTGCCTGGCATATTACGGTACTCAATAATGATTTTGTAAATGAATAAAGCTTGCTCTCTTTATACATTTAGCTGACTCCCTGTACCTCCTCAGTCTCTTAGCTTCACTATTTTTTTCCATATGTACTTATCTTTAATGTCCAGAATGTTAATGTTAATCATAATGGCTAATACTTACAAACTTACATAGAATTACTGTTATTAAGCTCTCTCTCCATATATATATACATATATACATATGTGTGTATATGTGTGTGTGTATGTGTGTGTATATCTCCACGCAATAACCCTAATAGCCTAAGAATTAGGTATTATTATTCTTCTAACCTTAAAGACATGGGACTGAGGCATAGAAAGGGTTAAAAAAACTTGCAAAGTCACAATAAGTGACAAGATTCAAATCTAAACTGAGTCACTGCTAGGTCCTCAGTTACCAAAAACTCCTCTAAATCTGTTCCTCCAGGCCTGCTTACTTGAAGTAGGAAAGTGAATCCAGGTCTCAGTGACTGGGGACCAGAGATTGTTGTATAACCTCAGTTTACCAGGAACCCAATGATTATGCCCTGGATTCTGGCTTTGCAGGGTTTTTAAATTGAGACTAGCATAATCTGGTCTCTTCAGAAAAGTTGACACTGATTGGAAGCCTGCTCTGTGCCTGATGCTGTCCTGAGCCCTCTTCTAGACAGCATGTCATGGTATTCCCACAACAAACCTACATGGGTAAGAATTCCTACCCATGTTTCACACATGAGGACTTTGAGTCTTGGGAAGTAGACCACACTTTCCTGAGGTCACACTGCTGTTAGATGGCTGAGCTGGAACTCAAATCTGGAACCATCCAACTCTAGAGTTTATTTCATCTCTGTTGTTACCCCCTATATTTTAGGCATTTCCAATCAATCTGCCTTTCCAACACTGTTAGTGGCAGTATGGTAATTAATGTATATTTTAATGAGCTGAATGTTCCACAGAGAATTTCTTGAGCTTTGTTCCTACCACAAAGTATTAGTGAAGCAAATGGTAGGAAATCTTGTCAAATTCAAATTGGGATTATTCCTTTTATGTATTTTTCTTGCGCATGGTTGATTAACCATTACAACCGTTACATTAGTATTGAATAACCAATGTATTCTGGTTACAAATGTGAGAAAAAATATATAAGCAAAAGGATCTGGTAGGCAGTCAGCTCAGTGTATCATTACACTGCAGATTTCATTATGGGGTATTTTGAATGAAAATGGATACTTCTGAAATTCCCAATTAACTTTGGCTTTGTTACTAGGCTACAGTTGACCTTTTAGTTTAATGTTAGCTATTATTAACACAGGAAGAATGCTCAATCATATTTCTGTGTTTATAAGCATTGCAAAGGTAAAGGTTCTGGTTTCCAACTTTGAATTGAGGGGGAATGCAATAAATGCTATGGAATGAATGGCAAGAATCCACTTAGCCTGAGTTATGAAACTGACAGTTTGGGTGCTTCCTCCTTGTTGACCTTTTTTCTCCTCCTTGAATGCCTGATCCACCCCCCCACCAGCCCCGTTTGCTCCAAGCTCTGAGTGAAATAATCTGATCAACACGAACATTGGTGACTTAACGAGTTATTTTTTTGAGAAGTATTTGCAATTTCCAAAGGGAGTTAGACTGAGTGTACATGTAGAATTTTTCTATCCACAAGGGGCAGGGGACCTTTAAGACCTGTTAAACCAGTTTGGGAGCGGGTGACTACTGAGGTACTAGGTAAGCTCTGTTAGCTGGGAGAACGCTGCGTTTCATGTGCAGACATCAACGTGGCATTGCCTGTGTCGTGTGTGGGCTCCCGCCTTTATGTTTCCTTTCATCTCACGGTGATTCTGTGGCAAGGGCAGCATCAGCGATCAGAGATCCTGCCAGCTGGCTTCAGACTACTGCTTGCCTTTGTCTCAGTGCCACACGTGAGATGTTTGGTTTTGGTTTTTTCCCTCCCTCAGTGTATCCACTTTGTGCAGTGTCCCTGATCCACGGACACAACTACCATACCTTGCCAAGGGTTATCAGTGCTGAGAACATTCAATGATCGCACAATGTAACCCAAACAGACATCTCAACAGAGTCCAGATGAAAAACCTCTATAATTTCCTAACATTTATCTAGAGATTGGCAAACTAAGGCCCTTGAGACGAATTCTGGAGAACTCTTGCTTTTGTACACTGAAGAGCTAAGAATGGTTTTTACATTTTTAAACAGCTGGAAAAGAAAAGAAAAGAAGAATAATATTTTGTGATATGTGAAAATTATGTGAAATTTAAATGTCAGTGACCATAAAGTTTTACTGGAACAGAGCCACACTCTTCACGTATATATAGTCTGTGGCTGCTTTTGTACAATAATGGTAGGGTTGAGTAGCTTTGACAAAGGCCTGCAAAGCTTAAAATATTTATGATCTGGCCTTTACAGGGAAAGTCTGCCGAATCCTGATTTAGTCAGTCATCTGGCATCTACCAGGAGAGCTGCCTGGAAATCATTGTGAAGCAGGTCTGTGCCATTTTCCCCTTGTAGGCATTTGTTTTCCCTGGAAGTTCTGCCAGCTTGATTAATTGCATCAGTGGATATTAACACTGGACAAGGAAGCTCATATTTGCCTGTGCTGCTGAGCTGTCTAGGTTGCCTAGTAATGGTTGTGTGTTACCAGTTGCCTGGGATTAATGAAGTAGAAATAGAAGGAGCTATAACTGCAAGTTAACATTATTAGTTTTACAATGTAATTTTTCTGTTCTGTATATATTTCAGTAACTGAGTTTAAAAACCATTATGGTTACAGAACAAAGCAAGACAAAGATAGTTCCTATTCATTTGGAAAACATGAACAAATGAAGGCCCAGAGAATTTAGACAACCTTTCTAATATCATACAGCTACTGAATGGGAAAACCAGGTCTAGAAACCAGGTATCTGACACCTCACTGCATTATGCTGCCTCTCATTAATGGAACTGCCGTATGAATGGCACTGTGTAGAATACGCTCACAGATTTCAGACTGAGGTTCTTCTTTTTACTCATTTCCCTGGAAAAGCAATGTACGGGCATTTAACTAATTAAATTAGGCCTAATCTATTCACTTTCTTCATTAGTAGGTAATTAAAAGATTCTTGGGGGAATTTTTTTCCAACTATTTCACTTGAGAGGATGAGACTGTTATTAGATGAAGCTTGGAACTAATACTGAATTCATCTATGGCCTCTAGATTCTCATCCCCAATCAGTGTATCACAGATGCATACACTTCTGTTCTACACAGATTTTTAAATTTTTTTCTAGAGACAAGACCCTCTTAAAATATAGGATGTGCTTATGTGGTGATATACCTGTGATCCAGGGCGCTATGTACATATACTTTGCTACCAGTGGTTGTAGCAATGTGAGTTAAGAGTCAATGACTTTTGACACTGTACTTCTTGCACTGGTAGGTTTTTATAACTATAAACATACCTCCTGGAGATGCTGAGTCTCTACTCTTTTGAATATTTTGCCCCAATAAAGAAGCATGTTTGCAAAGTTGCATCCTAGGGATTTCAGAGGAACAATGCCAAGCTTCTGACCTTAGCTAGTATTTCTTTATATATGGAAATTCACAAGCAAAAAAAGAGGACCGTATGTGTGAAATTAGAAAGAATTAAAAGATTAATGGTATACATTCAAAATGTGTGTAAATTTAGTGTCAGCATTTCCTTTAATTGATTTTCAGGATTCGATCTTGGCAGTTCTGCTTTATTGATGGTGATTCTATGTGTAATGTATGGAGGAACATCTGATTAGTTAATTAAAGCAGAGTGTATTTATGTTCATCTTAACAGCTAAAATGTTTTCTTTAATTTGTTCTTTGACTTTTGTCTATATGTCTTTGTTTTTTTGCATTAAATAGTTTGTTGACGTCACTATATTTCATATACTGAAGCCAGCAGAGCAAATGGATACTTCCTGTCTCAGCACCGACTCCTGTCCCAGGGTAACTGATTTATGCTAATGATAACACAGCTATTATGTTGATTAGTTATGCCAAAAAAAAAGGACCATGGCAAACCGTTATAAAAAATTCTCAATTGATGACTAATAAGAACCTGCTGTATAAAATTAAGATAAAATTCAAAAAATAAAAATTCTCCCTCCCTCCTTCTTTCCTTCCTTCCTTCCTTCCCTTCCTTCCTCCCTTCCTTCCTTTTTAATTGTTAAAGCTTGTTTGTTCTCCCTATAAAAAATACACTCATGTTGTTCATCTACTCATACTCACCTGGGAGAAACAACAATTAACTTTGAACATGGAGACAGGTGGCTGGGCAGACAGCACAAATCTGGTTAATCAAGTCTAGTCTGGAAACAAAACAAAAAGGAATACTCAGTAGTATTAATGCGAGAGAAGAGACCTGCATTGCAGCTGTTCTCACTAAGCTCATTGAAGATATTTTAAATGAAACAAACTGTTTGCTTTGATGAAACTGTAGCATATGATGTAGTTTGAAAAGAGAGAAGAGTACAAATCTCTGAAAGTCACACAAGTGATGAGATTTTTAATTTTGAGTGTTTTCCTTGGGTGTGACAGCCTCATATTTGGGATGTTTTGCATAATTATGAATGTGGAACTGTTTTGTATTTTAAAGCCGATTCTGGGTTTAGCTGGCATCGGTGTGCAAATTTATTCTTTATTTTCTAACAAGGTAAGCTTGGATAGTTTCTAGAATCTTCCTTGTGGAAAAAAAAATGTCTGTTAAAGTAGGCAGAGCTTTCTGAAGATGGTGTGCATAGCATGTACAAACATACTCTATTTTTTGATGTCCTCAGTGTATCTGGGTTTGGAGTATACAGCAAGATAACCTTAGAAGGAAAATATAATTTTATATGATTTTTTAAAAGAATTGAATTATCCTTTTCTAACTCCTGAGAGGGTGACTTATTAAATTTGCTCTGTACTATGCCAGTCCCCTGTCTGCTCCAACTGAAATAAACAGACAAGGGCTCTTTCAACAGCCAAAGAATAAGATGTGAGGAAAGTAAAAACCATGATTAAACAGCTCAGGTAGTGGAAATTTCTCACAAAACTTTTTTTTTGGAAAAGGAGGTCCCAAGGACAGTTTACATATTGATTCTACTTCAAAAAATCTCAAGGTCAGGATAATTTTGTGAGGCAAATTTTCCATAGAAAGCAGAGTGTTGTTTCCTGGTTCTTTGGGAGAAAAGGTTGTCCTTTGAATATTGCAAGACAGAGAAACTCATGATTAGCACTACTGCTTTAGCAGGAAAGAAATGAAGTTGTTCAGGGAAATGCCTTTGTCTTTTAGAAGGACCAGGCGTATCTGTTTGCAGCATCCACTTGGGATTGTTGAACCTTGTGTTGTACAATGTGAGACTTATGAAGGAGTAATTGTTGTATGATCTTATATTTATGCACAATGAGCATCCTTGTTCTGTTCCTTTATCATAAAAAATAATGAGCTGAGTTTAACCTATCAACTCTTGCATTTAAATTATGTGGGAATTAGGATGCACTTTGTGTGTCTCCATATAATAGTATGCAAATATAATTTCCTAAATTGAAGCCATCGAGTGTCTTTAAAAAATTAATGAGAAATATTTACCTATCACCTTTGGGCCACACACATAACAGCAACAGATAAGGGGAATTCAGCTCTACACACTGTTATATTCCCAGCTATAGTATTCAGAGCTGGTTTTATTGCTGCACTTTCTCCCGAACTCTTAGTCAGTTCTGAGCTGTTTAAAGCAGGGCATGTCACTTAGCCAATCTGAATCCCAATTTTTTCCATAAAACATGGATAATCATGTATAACTCGTGTTATTGCTAAATTTGATAAAGTAACATAGAGCTCTGGCATATAAGCACATGTACACACACATACGTAGTCATCTCCAAACTCTAAAGAATTCAGGAAGAATGTTTGTAATAGGAGGGGGGATTATATAAGCTTTGTAGTGGATGTCAGCTCTATTAGAGACTTGCATCAAATGTGCTGTGGAGCAAAAAGGAGAAATGGTCTTTTCCACGGACCGTTGTTTAGGGTTAAGCCCTCATTCTTTTGCCCTTACACCTTGGGAGCGAGAAAGGCAGTAGCACTTGCTATTCTAGGACTCTGGAGGGTGACACGCCTGGGTTGGAATCATAGCTCAGTCACTTCTAACTCCTTAAAGTGAGGCTAATATGTATCATACTTCTGCTCTAGGGTGGCTGTTAGGAGAATAAAAGAAGTTAGTGAAATGTAAAATGCTGACACGAATATACCAAACATAGTGTCTGACACACTGTAAATTCTCTATTAATGATAGTCATTTGTATTTGAAATGCAACTAGGAATGACATTTGACAAAGTGCATTAATATGGGAAAACTGAAATGAAACTTTAACACCGTCTAAGAGGATGGAGGTAATTGATTACATATTGCTCCAGGGCTATGATTTATCATTTGGAAGATGTGATCTTACAGGACAACTGTTGGTGGCGTGACAGATTTACGTGGCTCTACAAGTGCATAGAAAATGTAATTTGGTGAACCTGTTGTTGAACTGCCGTCCCTACGTTAAGTGTAGAGTTAAGCTGGTAGCCAACACAAGATACCGCTGCTGCCTGTCTCTTTGAGAGATGCAAAAAGGAAAAGATTTCTTTTAATTATAAGAAAATACGAAAGCCTTCTTTGCTCTGCTATCAGCATAGTTTCTCAGGAAGCAGGTGCCTATCAGTAAGTAAAAGAGGTGTGTGTGTTGGGCTTCCCTGGTGGCGCAGTGGTTGAGAGCCCGCCTGCCCATGTAGGGGACACGGGTTCGTGCCCCGGTCCGGGAAGATCCCACATGCCGCGGAGCGGCTGGGCCCGTGAGCCATGGCCACTGAGCCTGCGCGTCCGGAGCCTGTGTGCTTCGCAACGGACGAGGCCACAAAAAAAATAAAAGTGTGTGTGTGTGTGTGTGTGTGTGTGTGTACATGAACACAAGCCCACATTTACTGTTGCATAAGTGGCTTGAAAAGGCCAGGGATCACTGAGTGCATTGACTTAACAACATAAAAGCAAAAATAGTGGAGACTGATTTTGGAAAGGAGGAAGAGTATCTCAAATGTCTAGTGAAGATTCAAATTCCATAGTTCATTGAGTTTTGAGAATTTGGCATTAGAACGTTGTGTTTTTATTGCTCCTCCCTGCCAAGATCACTTCATTTCTGTCTGTAATCACATACACTTCCCCCCACCTCAAATTTCCGAAGAGGTTTCTCCTCTTCTTTGCAAAGTTGTGCATTCTAAGTCAGTTCTCCCCACCCCCATCAAGGGGAGGACCCTGGTCCTGTACAGTTTCCTCTGTCATCTATATTTGTAACTTCTTTAGATGTTCTGACTCTGACATTGCAACTCATATAATGCTCAAGCATCTCATATTTTTAAAAAGCTTCTCGTGTCTTTCTTTACCTACCTACCTACCTATCTCTTACCTTTTCTCCCCCACCAAATTCATCCAAAACTCCTGTGTGCTTATCTCAACATCCTCAACTCCCATTCACTTTTTTAAAAATTTAGTTTACATTTTTACCAAAATGTAAAATTTGATTAAAATTTCAGCTTAAGAGGTCAGATAGTTTTCCAAAACTTGTAACAAAACCCCTAGCTTTGCCTCTCTGGCAGCCCATAGGCAATACACTTTTATTTCCTTTATGTTTTACTCTTTATATCTCTATGTAACATACTACTCCTTGATTTTTCCATTGTAGGCAATATCTACTGACCACTTCTATTTTATGAAAGATGAGGATTCTTCTATTGCTAACACCATCCTTCACACATACTTTTCCCAGAGCTCCCTTTCCTATATAGTTAAATACTAATTTTGTTGTCACGTGACTATGACTTTAAAATGTCCTTCATAGGTGAATCACATGATTGTTTCCTTTCCTGCACACCTCTTTGTATTTCCTAGAGTTAACAATTCTTCCTTCCTTCATTTGCTTAGTTTTTCTATGAACTGATTCAATCCCTCAATTGTCTAAATTTGCTCTCATGTTCAAACACACCAGGGATTCTATCAATTTCACCTTTTGCAGACTTCTTTGCTGGACCTTCTGATCTGCTTCAGTTTGGGCTGGTTGTTACCAATGCCTGTTCTTTTGTAATCTTCCTTCATCACTCAGGATTTCCTCTGCCTCACCCTTGAGGTGGATTCCCTATTTCCATACCCTCACTTTGGTAGGGTATTCGTGATAACTTCTGCAGAAAGGGTACATAGGGGAAGTGTGTAAATATTTTGGTTCCCTGCATGTCTAAAAATGTGTGTAGTCTTATCACACTTAATTAGTAGTGTGTTTCCATGTAGAATTGAGAGCCAGAAATCACTTTCCATCAGAATTTTGAAAACATTCTGCCATTGTTCCTGTGTTGCTAAGAAATCCAAAGCCATTCTAATTCCTGATCTCTTGTATGTGACTTAATTTTGCTTATTTATTTAGTTTTACTAAAGAATAGTTGATTTACAATATTAGTTTCAGGCATACAGCACAGCGTTTCAATATTTTTATAGATTATACTCCATTTAAAGTTATTATAAAATATTGGCTATACTCCCTGTGCTGTACATTATATACTGTATCTTATTTATTTTATATATAGTAGTTTGTACCTCTTAATCCCCTAACCGTATATTGCCCCTCTCCACTTCCCTCTCCCCACTGGTCCGCTAGTTTGTCTCTATATCTGTGAGTCTGTTTCTGTTTTGTTATATTCATTTGTTTGTTTTATTTTTAGATTCTACATATAAATGAAAACATATAGTATTTGTCTTTCTCTGTCTGTTATTTTACTAAGCATAATACCCTCCAGGTCCATCCATGTTGTTGTAAATGGCAAAATTTTGTTCTTTTTTATGGCTGAGTAATATTTCATTATATACATTTTATATACATGTGTATTTTGTGTATATATATATATATATATATGTATATCTCACATCTTCTTTATCTGT